TTTTTTTCTGCTATATTTTTCTGCAATCTGTTTTGTTGCATTTTCTGCAACCTGTTTTGCTACTGCATTTCTGTTCTGCTGCTGCATTTTTCTGCCTTTCCCCAGCTGTTTTCTGCACTGTTTTTAAGCCAGAAAAAAATTCTATATTTTTTCCAGGAAAATTCTGCATTTTACTGCATTTTTCCTTGTTATTTTCTGCATTGTTTTTCCTTAGAATTTTCTGCTCCTTGCCAAATTTCTGGAAGTTGCAGTTACTGTTCACTGCGTAATCACTGTTCACTATAATGTTTATGGATTACTGTTCATGGATTACTGTTCACGCACTAATGACTATTCAATATGAAATTCTATGGAACATGTGAGCTGTGTATGTAGATATTAGTATACATGATATAAATGGCGTCATGATTAGGGGGTAGTCATGGTGGTGATTTCTTTTGGATCCGTGGTAGTGTGGTTATTAATTCTGGAATGTTTTGGTTAGTTCTTGATTATTCTGTCACCCTAGCATTGGAGTGAGTTTTCTGTGTTATGTGACTGAGGTAAGTAAATTATGGTAACACCTTTCGATTTCAAAGTAAAAGCATATTTTAAATTGTTTTTGAGATGGTGGCAAGGTTTAAATTGATTTTATTAGCACTGAGCATGAGTGGTTTGAAATGAAATTATTTTCATTTTCATTGAGTAGAGCATGCCTATTTGGAATTTACTGAACTGCTCTGATGATTTGAGAATTTTTGTAAATTATGGTTTTCCTGTTAAATCCATGCCCACATGAAAATTTTTCAATTTATTTCTGAAATTTGAAATTGATTGTGAATTACGGATTTTTCCTGTAAATCCTACATGATTTTGTCTTTAATATAATTATGATTTCTGAATACTGACTCCCGCTAATGGGAGGAAACGCTAGCACATGTCGACAGGTTTATTGAGATGACCTGTTCATTCTATAATCCTACCAGTGGGATAATACATTAGTTATTATTGATGCCTGTTAATGGGCAAATACATTGGTAATTACTGATGCCTACCAGTGGGTGTTAAACGCTGACCATAACTTATAGATGAGACTACTACTGAAACTTATTCTGCATTAATTGTTTATCATTGAACGTTTTGTTACGTTAAACTGTTTATTAAGCATGCTTAAATTTTACTCACGGGCTACTCATATTTTTACTTACTAGGATATTTTATCTCATAGTTTTCCTTACCCACCATTTTAGAAAGTGAGACCCGAGGCATGGTTAACCAGGGAGAGTGACGAGCTAGAAGGCTAGTTAGTATTTGGACTTAGGTTAATTGTAATTAGGTTTGTAGAATAAATTTTATTTTCAGATTTTTGCAAGATTGTTCCATGGATTGTAGTTATGAATTTAATAAGTTCCAAGTTTTGTGCATTTATGAAATTCTCTCACAAGTGTACAGCGCCTGTTTTGCCCTTGAATTTGGGTTCTGGGACGTGACATCCTTCAAGCCAAATATACTATAAATGAATATTCTCAAAAGAATAGAAAATATTAGTATATCCTTCGATTTGACAAATTTTTCCACACTTGCTTGGTTCAACTATTAAATACAATATAAGTATAGCTAATTCAATCGGTTTTTGCATTTTTTATGCATGACTGTATTTTTAAATTTGTTTTAATTTTATACACGAAAATAATAATTTTTTAATGAATGTATTATGTAACGTGTTGAATTAGAAAGTGTGCCCAATCAATGTTCTAGAAAAAATTCTTATTTTAAAATTTGAACTATACTAAATTACAAAATAACAACAATTGAATGAGAAGAAGAACACCATATCAAGAGAAAAGTAAAGAAAAGAAACAACCTAAAACGTGGCACTGCACTTTGAAAGGCCTTCCACCTCTAAAGTGAATACATTAGTAGCCCCTACCTTAAAGAACAACCTCATAAATAAAATTTTTAAAGGTTTATCATCCACCTTATCACCACAAAATTCCACACAACTTGTGTCCCCAACCTCCTATTTAAAGCCCTTAATTAACATTAAACCCAACATTTTAGACCCTTTACCAACATTCATGATATCCTTTCACACTCGAGACATATTCAAAGATCCAAATGAAATAATATCCGCCTCGTTCCTACCCCCATAATAATTCTCTCAAATCACTCTTTTCCATAAACCTTCTATCCCATCACCTAATCTAAACCACCATTTACCTAATAAAGCCCAATTGCTCCTCTCTAAATCGGCCATCTCAATCCCCCTCTCCTTTTTCATACAAATATAATCCTAACTGACCCATGAAATCTTCTTGTCCAAGTTTGCCCCAACCCAAAAAAAATTCCTCTGAATTTTAATCATCTCAACAAGTACATATTTAGAAATGTTAAATAAACAAATAAAAAATATACTATTAGAATGTTAAAGAATTATAAAACTTACAGATGTGGTTACATGCTAGCATTGTCAAACAAAGCCATTCTTACGTTATCAAACTACAAGGCTCTGGAACCTAAATGGTTCATTTAGAAAAAGAAGGCATGTGTTAACCCAACTCACAACACAAGATCAAAGGATCATCCAACCCATAAAGGCCTAACAAGAAAAATAGACTTTTAACAAGTACATTAATTAAGATGCTTTAATCAATAATTCAAAACAAGTAGAACTATAGTCAATATAAAAGGGAAAATTAATCTCTTCAATCTTCTCTAGTTGTCCTAAAAATTCAATTTTATATAAATTAACTTGATAATTTTACTTATATAGCAAACTAATGATAATTAAAAAGTTTTTTTGATCTCTATATATAAAGTTATTATTATTATTATTATTATTTTGAACAAGGGCAATTTTGGGGTAGGAGAAAGGAATTGAACCCAGCCCATGGGGCTGCGGACACACACCTTTAGCCAATTGACTTGAAAGGCCAAGTGTGTCTATATATAAAATTATTTAGTCAAACTTTACACAAAAATCAAATTAGGATAACTAAATCAAATATAAGAGTGCCATAATTAAAGAAAAAGCTATATGCACAACACACAATGTTTATTATATAGTATATTGTATACAACAAGACATGATAGTGATGTGATATGTATAATTAACTCCTTTTATTTAAGTGTCTATTTATAATATTATATATATTTACTCATTTAATGTTATATCATGTTATGTAATGCACAAGATAACATGACATATCCATCCTCATGTCTTGGCTTAATGGTCATGACCCTTTGTCAAGTGGGGATTCCCTCCCATGGGATACGTCTTCAAACCCCATGGACGACATTTCTCCCTCCCCAAATTACCCTGTTTAAAAAAAAGAAAAAAAAAACCCGAAGAAAAGAAAAGAAAGATGACATGACATATCTAGAAAGTCCATGGTCTCGGCAGACTATATGGATTCACATGGAATCTTTTCCTATGGTAGTTGCTTTAACAACCCTAACCCTCATCCTTGATGAAACATGATCGAAGAATAAACGTGAAATCGTGCATGCTTATGTTTAATTATAATGTCTAGATTACGCCTTTTAGAAGATGGTACCATTAATTGCTTCGGTTTTCTCTATATGTGCCCTCCTTGCTACTAAGCTGATTCGCAAATAATGCTATAAATTATTGAGTTTGAGTTGGACTCATAAACTTGAGTTTTAAAATGGTACCAAAAACAGGCAATATATAATCTAAATTCATAAACTCTGTGTGGGAACATGAGTTTCAATTAATAGAGTGTATTTGAATTTGGGTGTCTAAATTCAAATACACTTTGTTTTTACAATTTAAGAGTGTAATTGAATTTATACAAAATATGTGCATTTTAAATCATGGATTTCAATTTCAAAGGCAAAAAATGCATGCATTTAAAAACATTCTCTTACCCATAGATTTACAATAGACTTCAACATCTGTCTTTGTTTTCTTCCTTTTTTCTCCTTTGGAATACCATAATTTGAATTTTATCTTTTCTGAAAGGCAATGGTTTCTTATAGTTCTATGCTCAAAGAAGGCTTCTCATCCCATCTTCGGACCTCTGACTCCATCCCTATGATGCTGCTATTCACGATTGGTTTTTCTTATTTATGCTTTCTTTTTTCCGGGATAATGATTTCTAGTAGTCATTCTTTGCTAAGGGTTTTTATTTTTTTTGGCCTAGTATGATAAGTAGGCTGAAAAGGAATGCCTGAAAAGTGTTGGTAAAATGCTCACAAGAAGCCAAAAATGTTGGCCAAGGAGAAATAATGGATTATGTAGTATGTTTACTATAAATGGCCTGCTAACTGTTTGTTAAAATGTCTGAATGAATTGGATTAGTAAAATTCCATTTCAAATTCATGATATTTTAACATTCTCCTTTCTTTTAGGTTCTAATGAATAACAACAATTACTAACTGACCATGTCCTTTTGGTGGACAGACTTAATTTCAATAAGCAAAACATACAAACCCTTGATCGAAAGAATCACTACTTCTCAATTATTTTCAATAATCTGACTTAAAAATCCCATAGTGATGAGAATCTAACCGAGATTTTAGGGCACAAAATTACAAAATTATATATTCAAATTAAAAAAGGGCAGCGTTTTTAGATAAGAAAAAAAATAATAATAAGACTCATGTGACTGGATTCTCTTTGAAAATTTTCAATATTGTCCCAATATTTGGCCGTATTTATACTTACATATATATACTGATATTGAAAATGCATCAAAATTAAAATATTCTTTCGAAAATTGAATGGACAAGCGGAGCCACGATTGAAATTTTTGAATATTCTTTTGTTCCGTCCTTATTCAATTTCTAGTCAATCAAATCTGTTGAATTATTGTTCATATTGAAACGAATTGAAATTCATAAGGAGTTGGTCAATGATGCTCGAATATGTAATTGTTTTGAGTGCCTATTTATTTTCTACTGGTATTTATGGATTGATTACGAGTCGAAATATGGTTAGGGCCCTTATGTGTCTTGAACTTATACTGAATGCGGTTAATATCAGACCAAATGGGCACATGTGAGGCTTAAGCATGGAAACGAAGGAGCGCTCTGATAAAAATTCTCTTTGGAGGTATGCAGGGATATCCTGCATTGTATATAGCAAATCATACAAATCATTATCCAAACTTAAAATGATTTCTTAGTACCTAAACATAAACTGTTGTGCGATATCAATCCTCAAACTTGATGCAGGTGCCAGTATATCATTCCTTTAACTTTTTTATTTTAGATAAAGTGGAATGCTCAGTGCATTTAGTGTAAGTAATAAATTTTAAATTTGAGTAATAGGTGTGCATATGAAATAAATTAAAAAGAAAGAAAAAATTATCTTATATTATATAATTTAAAATTAAAAAAAAAAAGTAAATAAAAGAAAAAGTTGTTGGTGATGAGCTGATGATATTAGGAATTTTTGTAGTAAACTCAGTTTTCATAGATGTGACACTGATAAGGCGATTAACCCGTATTCTCAAATTAATAAAAAAAAAAAAAAGAAAAAAAAAGAGAAGAAGCCTACTTAGCCTCTTCTTGATGTAAAAAATAATGATTAATTGATTGCGTGATCCACCAAATATGAACAGATAAGGCAAGTACGTTTTCAATTCCCTCCATAAGGGACCACTAATAATTCCTCTCTAAGTGCAATTTTGTTCTATTTTTCAATTTAAATATCATTTCTTTGTTAGAAAATGAGAACAACACATTCATTTTTCTTTTATAAAAACCATGTTTCTCTAAATCAAGATCAAGGCACATGGTGTCGATGTGGCCTTTTGGTCTGCGCGGAATATTTTTCCATGGAAGTTAAACTATAGGACAGGTTTTTTTTATTATTTTAAGTTATGTAATAAAAAATAATTTACTCACATCCCTTAATTTATTTCATTATATATTATGTAATTTAAATTTATAATTTTTTATTTTCAATAAAATAAATTATTATTAAATTATTTAAATTATTAGCATATATATACACACACTGTGAACAAATAATTAAGATTCAGTGAGTATTATTAACGA